TGAAAGACATAACTTCAGTTTAGGTTCCTCCTACTGATGGTGACTGCTGCTTGATGTTGTTATTGTTAGGTATCTTTATCACCTCTGCCTTCTCTACGTTCACCTGAACGGAGTCCTGTCTTCATTGCTTTCATAGGCCTCTTCTGCTAACTTGCTGGTTTTCGCCTGTAGATCTTTGAGTTTGTGCGACAAGACAGTAGACATAAATCATCATCATCGGTGGCGAAATCCAAGTCTTTTTATGGGTCTTTTCATTGGTCCAGCCAGTGCGTGCCCCTCTTCTTGCTCCTCACAGTTGTCTGTTGCATGATCCAGTTCAGTCCAGTCAAGTCTAGTTAACCACAATCAGGAAGATGATCGGTGATAGTAGGCAGCCTTGTCTTACTCCTGTCTTCACTTCAAAGGCATCACTGAGTTTTCCATTTTGAATCACTCGACATGCGGCGTCTTCGTGTAGCTGCTGAATGGAGTTGATGAAGTTTGTGGTATTCCGTAGGGTTGAAGTAGCTGCCTGCCAAATTACTTCTCAGTCAGCGGTGTCCAAAGCCTTCTCAAAATCGATGAAGTTGACATTGAGTTGAGTTGACTGTCATTCCATACTGTGTTCTATGATGATGCGTAGCGTAGCATTGCAATTTAACGCACACATGATTTGTTCTTCCTGAAGCCAGCCAACCAGCCTGTTCCAGTCGTAATTTTGAATCCAGCGCATTGTTCAGTCTCTCTAGGATGATGCGGCTCAATATTTTTCTTACTTTGGGTGGACAAGAGCAGTCCTTGCAAACACTGAGGTCTCCCTTCTTTGGAAATTTGACAAGGTAGCCCTTCTTCCACTCAGCAGGTACCTTTCCTTCCTTCCAGACCTTCTGTAATAGTCAGTTGAGCATTTCCGCTGTTGTCTCTGCATCTGTTTTCAGTGTTTCTGGAAGAATTCTATCTTGTCCTGCTGCTTTACCGGATTTCAGTAACTTTATGGATTTCAGGAATTATGCTTTGTCGGAAAACTGGGGATCACTGGCAATTCTGCGGTTCTTGGTCGTACTTCTGGGCAAGTTGCAGGTGGTGATCGTTTGAAGATTTTTGTTGAAGTGGTCAGCTCACTGTTCCCTTTGTTTCTCGTTTTTGGTAACTAGGTTTACTTGTCCAGTGTTTTATAGGTTATGTTCAGTTCCTCTATAAGTTTTTTATCCCTGCACTGCAGTGATTCATCTTCTGCTTCACCATCTTCCTCGCACTTCTCTATCAGCTTCCGTGTATCCGTAGAGATCTGTTACTTGTCTTGCATCTTCTTCCTTTCTAACATGGCTATCCAGGTTTCCTTTCACATCTGTTTCAAAGAGTTCCAGTGTTCTTCCACGCCAGATCTTTCAGGGATGTTGCTCAATGTCTCCCATTTCTTCCTGAGGGCTGATAACGTGAAGATGTTCTTTGTAGTTTCATCCTTCAGTTTCTGTTCTGAGTGTTGAACTTGAATTGTGGTCTATCACCAGCTTCTTCACAGGCTTTCAACTTGATTTTGAAGGTAGGTTCCTCGCAGCAGATAGTGAGTGGTTCGAACCTACATCTCCTCCCCTTCTTGACACGACCTTCTGTTCTGTAGGTTGCGTCTTCACTTTCTTCACATTGAGATGAAGTCGATCTAAATTTTTAGTTAAGTGTGTCCATCTTGTGAAATCTATATCGCTACTTTGAGAATATTTTTGTGTTTGTACACACTGCCTCCAATCACCAAACCATGAAAGGCGTAGACGTCTGCAAACAGTTCTCCATTCTCATTCATTTCACCGAGTTCCTCTCGACCCATGGTTAGCTCTCTTCCTGTGTTCTCCGCTACCAGTTTGGTTTTCATGTAACCCATCAGGATTTTGATGTCGCCATCTAGCATAGAGTCTCCCCAGTACTGATTGCATTTGTCTGTAGAATTCCTCCTTCTTCCTTCATCTGCATTATTTGTTGGTGTGTAGCATAGCACTGTATGATTGTAAATTTCCTTCCTTTTGAGTTGAACCTTGCTATCGTGATCCTGATCATACAGGAGGAGATTGGTCCCCACTGCACGAGAGACAGCCTACGATGCTCTTGAGAACAGACATCATAATAGCCACTCCATAACTCAGTGTGCTCATGGTTATCGTATGGGTGACAATATCGGAGTAGATTATTGACTCTCCAGTTGACAGTTTGGAGAGTCCACTTCCGTTCCATCTCCTTCCGCAGATTCCTAGCATTTCTAGGCTACACCTTCTCATCTCTTTTGCAATCTAGGCTTTTGCCTTGCTAGGTTCATACAAGGTGCGGACATTCCATGTCCTCATTCCTACTTTCGTTTTCATCGAGAGAGGGGAAGACGCATCGGCCGACTGGCTTCTCGAATGGCTTTCATCAACTGGTGTCATTTCGTCTCTCCGATTCCAGTGAGGAATAAGTTTATTTTTATTTTTATATTTTTTGTGCTTTGAAGTTTTTTTCAGATGTTTGATTGGTTTTACTGGGTTAGTTTGCAAGCCGTATGCCCAACCTTCCCTATTTATTCTGGCTTAGGACCGGCTAGTAACTAGTGAACTAGTTAACCAGGAGAGGTTGAACACCCACTAGATAACTAAAAAATCGGTTTGTCTACGACTCATGGGAATCAGGAAAACCTAACATAAATGCAAACAGGCATTTTCTTTTGACATTTCCGTAGATTAACATTCACCATTTAACACTAACAAGGTCACTCTAATCTATCAACTCGCTGATTTGCGGATTTATATGGCGAAACAGTTTTCAGTTATGTGTTACACCCATTTGAACTACTCGATATATGTAGAAACCTAGTGAAGGTGCGTAGATGCAACGGTTTTTCCCTTCATCTACAACTTTCACGCTTATAAATGACAGTTTTTATTTAACTCGTATCCTAAGAAACGTTCTTCGAGTCATTTGATGATTTTCATCTATAGATTAGCGTTGATTTTAAAGAAAATTATGCGCGTTGGATCGTTTATCCAGGTAAATATCAAAGATCAAGTAAAACATGTTTAAATTTGCTTTAAAATATTCATATATATATATATATATATATATATATATATATATATATATATATATATAAATCCTGGTCATTTCTGAAAGGTCATCTATAAATTTACTAACTGAAGACTCATTTAATGTGTCTAAAATCCTATTCCTAGAATGAATTATGTGAATTGAATAGTTACTATCGGTGAGTAAACTGAAGTATCTGGGGGAATTATGGCACTACACTGATCACTTGAACTAACAGGTGTTATTTCGACCTTTTGAAAGTCGTCCAAATGCACATCTTGTAATCGAATCCCATACTTGGAGAAGAAATTGTCAGCTGTTAAAAGTGGTAAATTTGCATTTTAGCTTAACCTGCAAGATCAATTGACGACATTTACAACAGCTAAAGTACAACCAAATGTAACTAAACACTTCTAAATTACTGTGAACTACATAAATCAAAATACAAGCTTAGTAATGTTTGCACTTTATGATGATATAATTAACGGGATAATTGACGGGATTTATCAAAACAACTTCTAGATTTCCGGATCCGAAGTCACCTACATATTTTAACCTTAGGTGCCCAGACAATCGTCTAATGACTGAGATGAAATTTAATCCTGATTAACGGCGGAGTCTCTAAGCTTAATCGGTTCACTAGCACTTCGACAATCTAAGAGAGACTCTGGCTCAAATTCTGCAAAGATTCAAGATTTCTATCAGCTTTCAACATTTTCTTTTTATATCACATTACCAATCTGCTGACCGAGGTTATCACAGTCAACTTAATGGTGGTATATATACATCCTGGTGATTTCCCCAACATATCTTTTTAATTCAACTGTCCAATGTACTCTACCAAGTGACCCTAGGCAGTCAGCTATAAATTATTGAATCGAAGACTGTGCAATATGATGCTTTTCGTACACGTTTAAACATTTTCTACCACTAACCGACAAATGCAAACAACAATAGAAGGTGAATCTTTTTCAAAACCCCGTGTACTATGACTAACGGAAAAGAAATAAACTTATTTACGCTGTTCGTTGAATGAATATATACCACATCAGAGGGTGTATGGTAGGTGATTTATGTCATCTTCAGGAAAGAACAGACAATATTCCATTATATTTGAGATTTTACTACATATTTGGCTATTTTACTCATCAAAGGTGACAGTAACTAAGATGTGATCAAAAATCAATATAACAGTGAAAAATTCACTTCAGTTATACATCAGATAATTTTAGCGCTTTTTTCTACAAAATGACTTAAGCATATTATTTCATATATTATCATGGACAAGATATATGAATGTATTCAAAAAATCGATTGTACTGGACACAAATATGTTGTGTTCTGCCTTTTATTTGTAATACGAATCCAAAAAGGCAGGGCATTCATGAAGTCTTCAAGTATTTCACCACAGTTCACCTTTTGGGATCACTAACTCATGATTAATCACTGTGAATAAAGTGTAGAAGAGAAAGAAAGTCACAATACTAGCTACGGTAAGATGTTGTTGTAAGAAAGATAAGGGTGTTTAAGTCAAGTTACAACAATTCTGCGCGAAGTCTTTGACTGTTTTTCTGCTAAACTTAGAAAAGTGTAAACTTCACGATACTAGTTCATGAGATAATCAAAATTTATGATTGGACACTAAGTAATGCATTGTGAATGTAAGAACACTTTGTCTTCAATTCAGTTTAACCATTACATACTTTTATTCACATCACTTATTTCTTATGTTCTTTGTGTCTCTTGATATTTCCTTATTTACGGCTTTGATTTGTTCAAATAAAGCATGTTAAATTACACCTTTACACAAATGTATTACGTCCGGCTTTGACATTGTCTGTCTAAATATCAGTAATGAATGCTTTTTAGGCGAAAAATATGTTGAATTCAGTATTTTAGTCGTGCATAACACTGTCCATTTCAATCACCTACTTCTAAACAAGCATTTTTTTACTACATCTTTATTGTAGACGCAAGCTAATTATCCTTGACTGGTGCAACGTCGACTAAGCGAAAGGAAATATTCTGTTGATCACGTTACTCTGTCACTATCCTGTTTCCTTCTGGACTAACAACCCATTTTTGAGAATACGCATATGCGTAAGGTGGATATTTGCTTTCGGGGTTGTAAGTGTTGTTACTTGGTTAATCAACATCCGTAATCTGACATATTTATTCCGCTTACCATCTAACTATATCGTGGAATAGAAACTAATACACATAACGTTAAGGAAAAAAGGAGGTATTTATTTGTGATGGCACTTTTTACGATTTAAAGTTGTTTTGTAGTAATTATAAAACTTGCGCTGTATTTGTTTGTCATCCAGTTAATATACAGTTGACTACATAACTTATGCTCTGCTAAAAGGAATACTGATATAACTGAATCACTTACAAAACACTTTATTTATCTACAAATGCACTTTAAGAGAAGTTTATAGCTTATATTCAGTAAAATGAATGGTTCAGTTTGTATTAGAAGCTAAGTACAACAGTTCTATGGACTCACTGATAGTTCACGTTTGGATACAGATCAAATTTCACCAGTGGCTTAAAGTCTTTCTTGAGTTTACTTCATGAAATTAACATTTGCTTTTATTATACTAATAAAGTTTTGCACCTAACTTCATTAGTTACTCCATAAAAAGAAGACTGTAGCTCATAAAAAACAACCTGAATTATAAAGAGACAAGTTCAACCTGACAGAAAATGTCACTAATTCAGAAATTATAACTAGTTAGTATTACTGAAGAACATTAGTGAAGTATGTCACTTTTTTGTTGACTCAGTTGTGCATAAACCTGAGTTGTTGTTATTTTTATCTTAGTGAAGTATTAGAAAGTGCGCCATTGATTCTCCTCTGATTAAAACAAAAAATCAAGGTGACTTTTCATTTCCTTTCGACATGTTATCACTACTTTTCAGAAAAGAGCTATTTTTTTGTTTACTACTTCACTTTAAAAACTGGTGTCCTTACAATAAATTACTTGGAATCTTGAAAAGTTTCATTCGTTTTAATTTGTAGACCATCCACCTGAGCTACAAATATTCTCCACTATTTCAAAATTTGTAGACAATCTGAGGAATCTATACAAGGAAGTTATATTCTGCAAAGTTTAAGTAAGAAAACGTTTTCCAGTTGAATAGTAAAAATAGTTATGAGGGGAGGAAATTCCTCTTTCTCTTCAACTGCCTGATACTGGCGTATTCAGTAATCGGTGCAAAATTTACATGGTGTATTTTTCAAGGCAACTAGCGTAACACTTTGATGTGGTGCATTTATTTCAGATATCTGAGTAAGTCGGATAGGAAACTCAGGACACTGGGATAACATCAGTAACCAGTTATACATTTTATGCGATACAAATTACTGCAAAATAATAACGAATAAAGTTATTCGTTTGTCAGACGAAGACAGTACATGGTGCTTTGGTAGAGTCCTCGGCTCCTAACCCAAAGACTGTTCATTTGAATGTTTTGAGACTCAGGTTTTTATTGAATCGTTAACCATCATGCAGTATCGATAACAAACCATGGCTACCTCAGACAACCTCGTTAAAAAATAAGTAATACTATATCATCTGTCACCAATCAGTTCTTATAAAGATCAATGGATAATACACTCCATCAATATATTCACCAGGTTATTTCGGAGACTTCAGATGTGTTTCATTAACTGTACTTAAAGAATATTAGATTCTTTTATCCTGTCTAGGCAGAACAACTAGTGTTAGGCTGCAAGATAAAAAATATTGGCAGTAACACCATGCATTTTATACGTAACTGCGATTCTTATCGGTATTATTATTGGCCAGTATAGGGCAGAGGAATGCACAGTGCTAAGGAAACATAGTATTTTTATTTCGACTTAATTATTGAGTTAACAGTTGTTGTCGTACAGGGCTAAAGATCATCGTGAAGACTATTGAAAATAAAAGGAGTTGATAAACGCTACTTCTATTTTATTTTAGGAGTATTCAGCGATATGCATTCACAGTCTCATACCGATCCAAACTCTCAACCTCCATTACTCTTGCTCACCATTTTGCTACTAGAACTAAGGGCTGAACTGAAATCATGTGCATATTTTTAATTTTAAACAGTTCACGACGTAGCTTAACTGTCATTTATAATCATCTATGGTCACCTTGTAACGGCCATTTATAGAAATGGAGATTTGTAGAAGTGTGAGTATAGAGTCAATCACCGGAATCTAGAAGAGAGAAGATAAAGAGAGAAGCGTGAGCCAATAAATCAGTGACCACAACCTAACCTGAACAAAATAACCCCTTACTCAGTGTAAGCATCAAAATTTCTTGACTGACCTATGTATGACGTTTGTAAAACGCATAGTTCAAAGGTTCTTGACCAGTATGGAAAGAATACCCAATCTTACTGCACTGTCTAGTAATTCCTGCTTTGATATAAGTTTACAAAGAAAATGTCTTCAAATGAAATCACTAAGAACGACATTGGCACACTTCACGTTGAGGTGTATCACAAGCTACTGATGCTTTAAAGTAACAGCCAATGAGTTTCAAAAGCAGTTTTTTAGGAGAGCTTAGTAATCCTGGTTTTCTTGGCTGTATTGTGTTCTCTTGGTTTTCATTGCAGAAATAATCTTGAAGGGATAATATTGTATTTTTCTGATTTCGAGCGCTTAACACTTAATTACTTCAATCACCTCTATTCAGTTAACTACATTCTGTAATACGGTTTAAAGTAATTTTAAACTTTGCAGTTTTTCTTGCTTACCCAACTGAACTCATGAAGTTGATATTTGTTGTTAGCTAAACGTTCTTATCCCTATGATTGAATGATGCTCATTTAAACTCAGTAACAAGCACTTCAAATACAGCACTATTTAGTCGTAAAAGACACATTTAGTTCATTTCAAGTTTATTTGAATATGGACTGTAAAATAAAGAAGGATATGGTCAACGATAAGAAGAAAGTTGTTTCATTCAGATATAACATCAGTGGCTAAGTACTTTAGATTAACCCACCGCACTTTTTGTAGCAATGGTTTTTGAGTTCGAATACCAGATAAAACATCTTCATGACCATAATACAAGCACACACAGCTGATAAGTGCAAAGTAGAAGGATACAGATTTGGTTAACTCAACGTCGGCTTCAAGCAAAAAGACAACACCATGAAACCTTTGGAATGCAACAGATAAAATTCTATTGGTAATCAGGTGGCTTTATACAATATAATCAACCGAAGCTTAGTTCCTGAAACCAATGAATTGATTAATTAGTTATTTTATATAATTTGTACAACTTCACACAGCGATAAACCACGTTTTATTAGGATGACTTTCTTGGTCATGATTTGGTAGACTATTCCAATTCCTCCTGATTTCGACTGGGATAAGACGACCTGTCTTGATAGTTAGTGTGAATACGATGAATAGACAGTAACGCATCACGAATTTACATCGTAGTCAAGTAAAACCCCTTAATGATTGAAATGAAATAGGAAACTGTTGGAGCACTAGACTGCTAACTTGAATGCTGGTGGTTTGAATCCCGCTATGTTCTAGATTTTCACTTTACTTTTAAATATCGCCCAGTACAAACTACATTTCATCTTTTTGAAATATATTGCATTTATTTTCCACTATGCTATAGAAAAAAGCTCAACCTATTTATTGCCTTCTATTCTGCTTGCATTGACACACAAAATTTCTTCATAAATCTTCTTTCCTTCCAGTTTCTTCTCTAATTTTATGCGTTTTTTAAGCACACTGAACAGTAATAAATCATCTTGTCCCTTCTTTCATCCTTTCTTTTTTCTCTTTAATGCAAGAAATTCTGCTCACATGTAGAAGTACATTTCATGTGAGTTGGAATTAAGTCGTAAATCAAAAATATGCATATTCATATGCCTAATAGAAATTATCTCATTGCATCTCCATATACATATCAGGACACAACAAGATGAATTTCATTGCTATATGTTCTTTGAACATTACTGAGATAAGCAGAGAATGAGAATAAGAGAGACAAAGATCTATTTCTCAAGATAACTTTGTATTTCAGTAATAATTACAGTAGTTATACTAAGATTTCTAATCTCTGCTTATACTCCTATCTACAATTTGGTTGCACAAACTGTACAGTTCGTACTGTTAATTCATTCTAATCTTCATTTGCGTCTGTGAACCACCTTTTGTAGGATCCACCTTATGTTAATACGGAAAGTGTATCTCTTACTTGTACCATGTCAGCAGCGTTCATATTAGGCTGAACTCTGAACACACACTTGCACACTCACATGAACATCGGACTTAAAAACTGACATTTTTGTTCATACGATTACTTGATGTCTATCCTAAAGAAGAACGGCTACCCACGAGACTTTATCAGATGCCCATCCCGTACATCATTAACTACAAAGTCATCGATAGAAATCAACAAACGCATCACCCCACCATACATAAAGAATACATCAGAATTCACGACAAGATTACTGGCACCACTTACAGTTGTTGTGGCTCATAAACCGACAAATTCCCTGCAAACACTATTATGCAGACCAAAGAATGCAACAACCAAGGAAGACAAACCGAACATCATTTGCAAAATCAACTGCAATTACTGTGGTCAACACTACACTGGACAAGGTAGTCTCCCTCTTCACCTTCGTCTACATGAACACCAATTGGCTATTGAACTTCACACACGACATTTCATTGCTTATTTCAATGCACGTGGATAACAACTGTGGACATGAATTCAACCTTGACAATGTAGAAATTTTACTTCATACTGAAGTTAGTGGTGATGATGTCGTCTAGAAGGATGAGGAAAGCTGAACGATTAAACAACCCAACTCAGAGAACAAAAACACAGCCAAAATGAATCAGCTCCTCAAATTACCTCAACACTAGTATGCTTTAGAAGAGCAATTCATTCTTTTCAACAAGGTTTTAAAGACAGAAGTGTCTTGGAAACAGCTTTACTATTGAAATTATCCACTTCGTATTCATCGATGTTGCCTAACTTTCATGTCGTATATGACTGTTCTCTACGAATCTCAGTGTATTCGTTTTGCACTAGTCTGCAGTCATGTATAGATCGCAACTCTCGTAGAAATTGCTTTCTGCAACCTGTAATGAGCTATGCTTGATTTCCCTGTTATCTCTGGTAGAAATATTAATTTCATTGCCATACCGGAGTGTATACTACTTGTCACAGTTGGCAATTCCAGTTACTGTTGGCTCCAGTTCATGTA